GGGGACACGGGTTCGAGCCCTGGTCCCGGAAGATCCCACATACCATGGAGCAACAAAGCCCGTGCGCCACAACTACTGAGCCTGTGCTCTAGAGCCTGCGTGCCACAACTACTAAAGCCCGCACGCCTAGAGCCCGTGCTCCGCAACAAGAGAAGCCACCGCAATGAGAAGCCGGTGCACCGCAATGAAGCGTAGCCCCCACTTGCCGCAACTAGAGAAAGCTCGCGTACAGCAACAAAGACCCAACACAGCCAAAAATAAATAACTAAATTTATTTTTTTTTTAATTTATTGAGGTATAGTTGATTTACAATGTTGTGTTAATTTCTACTGTACAGCAAAGTGATTCAATTATATATATATATATATATATATATATTCTTTTTCATATTCTTTTCCATTATGGTTTATCACAGGATATTGAAATAGTTCCCTGTGCTATATAGTACGACCTTGTTGTTTACCCATTCTATATATAATAGTTTGCATCTGCTAATCCCAAACTCCCAATCCTTCCCTCCCCCACCCCTCCTCCCCCTTGGCAACCACAAGTCTGTTCCCTATGTCTGTGAGTCTGTTTCTTCAATAAACATTTATTAAGTACCTACTGTGTGCTTGGGGCACTGGATGAAACAGTGGCCAAAATCAATCAGTTCCCTGTCCTTATGGGGAGACAGATGGCAAACAAAGAAACAAATAAATGATAGATTTTTTTCAGATATTGAAAGTATATAGCTATTAGATTCATAAAACAGAGTGACTGGAAAGATAGTGACTGGAGAAGGTCCACGTTAGGCCTTTAGGGGACTGGAACACACAGGTTGAGCCCCCAAAGGTAGGAGTAGGTGGCCAAGTGAACAGGTGCAGGGAAGAACAGTTCAGGAAGATTGAGCAGCATGCGCAAAGGGGCTGCGGTGGGAAAGATCCAGGGTCCAGGTCCCTCTCCCAGACACTGGGACAGGAGCGTCAGCTTCCACCCAAGGTATCTTCCAAATACACAAATCCCACCGGGTAACTGTCCTGCTTAGAGTGTTCCCGAGGCTCCCTGTCCCCTGTGGATCATATCGAAGCCCTTTAGCCCTGAGCTGGGCACCACTCGGCCTCTGCTCTCCCCACTACGGACCCGAACGCCCTCAACGGCAGTCACTCCAGGCCCCACCCCAAGCCACCCCCTACACTCTCAGCGCCGGGACAGTGCGGTCCACCCCGCCTCACCACTGGACAGTTTCGGAGAGCTTGGAACGCTGGTTGGCTGACGTGGCCGTCAGTTAGGGTCAAGGCCTTGATAACCGGTCCCCGAGCTTCGAGGGGGCGGGCTCGGGTGCGGGCGCGGCTGCGGCTGCGGCTTCAGGTAAAGCGCCAGCTTTCGGGGCACCGATGGGGTTCTGGGGGGGATCAGGGTACGCAGCGGGACGGGGCGCTGCGCTTCTAGTCCCTTTGCGGGCTCAGCGCGCTGCGACGGGGTGGGCACTGTGTCCTCTGGCTGGGACCCCTCCCACACTGGGAGTCCCGGGTGGGCGGCGAGCAGAGTCGGGGGGCTCTGGATTATTGAGGTCTCCTACTTCCCGCCCTTCAGGAGCGAAGTGGGGGGCTTTGTTCGCCCCCTGGCCTCGCAACCGACTTCGGGATGCTTTCACAGAGTCGCTCCTGGACAGCTTGGGGACCCGGGTCCATTCCCTCGCGCTGGACCTGAGTGTGTGTGTGTGTGTGTGTGTGTGTGTGCGCGATGGGGGGTGATTCGGAAACGGTGTTGGGGGGAGGGACGGATGGCCCCCGGGCCGGCAGACAATGGACAACGGATGGAACCGCCCGGCGGCGTTTCCTGTAGGAAACTGCTCTGTCTCCGTGAGGCCGTCGTCCTGAGGGGGCAGGGGGGTGGGGGGTGCTGACCTCAGTACCTCCCCCTCCCCCCATCATCAGCCTCCACTCCCACTTCAGGGGTCTGAGAATCCCGCCCCAAAGTTAGGGGGTGCCACCACCCAGAGCCTCAGTCCGGGAAGACGCCCCCTCCCCAAGACCGGGATCTGCACTGCCCGCCTCGTACCCCACCCCTCAGGTTTTGTGAGCACAGCTCTGAGTCCCAAAATAGTCCCTGGGGCGGGAGTGGGGGCGTGTGGCGTCGGGTCTGACGGCCTGATAAGGGGGTCTCAGGCAGAGGATCCGGATCTAAGCTTAACAGCTCGGGCAGGGAGCGGAGGAGAGAGGAGGGCAGTTGCACGCCTCCACTCCAGTGAGGCTGCAGCCCCTGGAGCCGCCACGGTTTGGGCCTGCTCTTCCCATCGGGGACACACGCAGGGGACAGGCAGGAGTGCAGGCTGCGAGGGCCGACCCCCTCTGGCTCTCTTCCCCTCCTGGGGAGGGGAGGGCTGTTTGTAGAAAGCCCTCAAGTGGAGGGGTCAATGCAGAAACACTGGCAAAGCTGCAGGGTTCAAATCCTGCTTCTGCCCATGTCCGACTTTGGCTGGGTCACTTAATCACTGTGTCTCAGTTTCTCCATCTGCACAATGGGGGGAAAGAATAACCTACCTCAAAGGGTTTACCTAGGATTTTTTTTTAAGTTACCCATAAATTGCTTAGAATAGAGGCTAGCCCATAGTAAATGGCAAAAGTCATTGGCATATTTTTATTTACCATTCTTGGGGCATCCACCCATTTTGCAGGTCAGTCTCTGGGTTTGGCTGCTCCAGCTGGTTTGGGTCTTAGGAATGACTCACAGCTGTTTTTTTTGAATTCCCAGGGTCTCAGATTTGGGTGTAACCAGGTCCCCGAAGGGGGGAGCTGACCCCACGGAGTCACACGGCCAGCTGTGTGTGAGGCAAGCCCAGACCCCTAAGCCCCAGCCCAGGTTTTTTCCATGACCCAGCTCTTCCCTGGCAGTTTCCTGAAAACAAGTCCTGAGAGGCACTGGCTGTCCTCCGTGTTGCCCTGCTGGCCGGCACCTTACAGCCAGTGTGAGGCGACGGGAAACAGCTGCTTCAGGACTGGAAGTTCCCCGTCACTCTCCTTGGGGTGGGTTGGGGAAGGTGTCAGGGACCCAGGCTGGACAGAGTGGTGAGTGGGAGGGTTCCCCCAGCTGTGGAGCAGAATGAGTCAGGTAGACCAATGGGTGCTCAGTTGCTGGTGGGTATTAGGCACGCAGGTGGTCATCCGGAGTGCAAGAGATCAGAAGGGGTGACTGGGAAGGTTGCCAGGTGGTCAGCACAGATGGGCAGTGGGTCAGGAAGAGTACAGATCGGGTCTGGCAGGCACCTGCTGGTGGAGGGCTGGGCAGACGAGAGGTCCCCGCCAGAAGATGAAAGCCCAGTGTGAGGGCATTTCCCATTGGCAATTGACTTAACTGCTTTATGCCTTCATTTCCCCCATCTGGAAAAGGGGGAAACGTCCTACCTTGCAGGATTATACTTGTGTGTGTGGGGTTACATTTAGTCAGGCCCGGCATAGAGTAGGCACTCCATACAAGCTGCTTTACCTTCCCTGAGGGTTTTTCACGTGAGCTCTTCAAAGCCCCATCTTTCCTGCCCTATGCTCTCTGAATCAAATTTCTGGACTCAATATTTGTCCTCGTTAAATATCACATTATTAGATGTGGCCCAATCTCCCCAGTTTCTTAGAGCCTCCATCACATCACCTGAAGTGTCTCTATCCCTTTAGCCCTAAGCATAGCCACAGCTCTGAGTTTTTTGTTTGTTTGTTTGTTTTTGTAGTTTTGTTTTGTTTTCTTGTTTTTGGCCTCAACACATGGCACGGCTTGTGGGATCTTAGTTCCCTGACCAGGGATTGAACCCGGGCCCTCAGCGGTGAAAGCACCGAATCCTAACCACTGGACGACCAGGGAATTCCCTAGCCACAGCTCTGACAACCTGGGTGCTTGTGGTTCCACTACAATCTCTTTCAAGCCAAGGGCAGAGCCCTGTGGCACTCCAGTAGAGACATCCCAGGAAGACTGGTATCCATTGATTTCCATCCTTGGTGTGTCTGGCCCACAACTCTCCATCATTCCTAAAGGATCTCACAAGTGACCCTGGTATAAGTTCAGATGTACATGAGCCCTCGAAGGGCTTCCAACCCTCGCCTTCCTCTTCTGAATGTTCACACTCCACCCATTTGAGCATCAATTTCTAATTTTCCCCAGGGACCGAAGAAAACTCAGCAGGTCTGGAATGCACCTCACCCTGCCCCCACCCCAGCTGCTCTTGTTCTCTTGATCATCATCCTCTTTCTTTTTTTTTTTTTTTGCCACGCCATGTGGCATGCAGGATCCTAGTTCCCCAACCAGGGATCGAACCCTTGCCCTTGCCGTGGAAGCACGGATTCCTAACCACTGGACCACCAGGGAGTTCCCCTCTCTTCTCCTTTTGATGCCCTTCCTGCCTCCTCCTGCCCAGCAGGCTGAGCCCTGGCATGTGAGGGTCCCCACAGTCATTCATTCCAAACTTTCTTTTTATATATATATATATATATATATATATATTTAATTTATTTATCTTTGGCTGCGTTGGGTCTTCATTGCTGCACGCGGGCTCTCTCTAGTTGTGGTGAGCGGGGGCTACTCTTCGTTGCGGTGTGCGGGCTTCTCATTGTGGTGGCTTCTCTTGTTTCAGAGCATGGGCTCTAGGCGCACAGGCTTCAGTAGTTGTGGCACGAGGGCTCAGTAGTTGTGGCTCACGGGGTCTAGAGCACAGGCTCAGTAGCTGTGGTGCAAGGGCTTAATTGCTTTGCGGCATGTGGGATCTTCCTGGACCAGGGCTCGAACCTGTGTCCTCTGCATTGGCAGGCGGATTCTTAACCACTGCGCCACAAGGGAAGTCCCCATTCCAAACTTTCAAGGCCACTTGAGGGAGGAGGGAGGAGAGGGCCTGTGTGGGGGAGTGTTGGGGTGGTGGTGGAGAGGACCTCTTGGGTCTGTTTACTCACTCAGAGTCCAGACTGACCCCAGAGGCACAGCCAGAGGGACAGGGCCCAGCCCCACTCTCACCCCCTCTGGGGGCTACTCCAGGAAACATGGCCAAGTTTGCCCTGAATCAGAACCTGCCTGGTAAGTGTGCAAAATGGGATTTGCATGTGTACAGATCCACACTTGGCACCCAGATGCAGACACAGCCCTGCAGCTCCCTCCTTTGCAGAGTGGCCAGAGGGCCCTTTACAAAGGTGGATAATATCATGGCTTAAAATCTGCCTCTGGTGCCCTGTCACAGGTGGAATAAAACTCCATCTCCTCATGGTGGCCCAGAAGGTTCCCCACAATCTGGTCCAAGCCCACCTCTTCTACTTCTCTACCCCCTCCCTTCCTTCACTCTGCTCTGCACATCCTCACCTCCACACGGCTCTTACTCAGGCCCACCCTGGTCATTCCACCCCAGGGCCTCTGCATGGACTGTTTTCCTTTAGGAACCTCCTCTCTCAGCTGCTTCCTCCCCCTCATTCAGGGCTCAGCTTGTAAGTCCCCTCCTCAGGAAATCTGCCCTGACAGCCGGAGCCCAAGTCTGTCAGTTATTCTCTATTTCGTCTTGTAATTATTATTATTGCCCTAAGCACCATTTGGAACGATTGTGTTTATCTGTCTCCTACAAGAGGGCAGGGGATGCTTGTCTTGTTCACTGCTATGTCCGCAGCACCTAGAAAAGCGCTTGGTACATAGTAGGTGCTCAATTAACGCGTGAACCCTCGACTTTTTGGGAGCAGAGAGGCGTTTAAGCCTTGGGTGTGCAATCCAGGTGTGCAGGTGGAGTCGTGCAGGCATGTCGTGGGGCAGTGGGGACGCGCTCTCCGGGTCTCTCCGGCTTGACGCCCCTCCACGCCCCTGTCATGCCCACAGACCTGGGCGGCCCTCGCCTGTGCCCCAGCGTGACTGGGGGAGCTCGCAGCCCGAGTTCGCCCTACTCGGTGGAGACGCCCTATGGCTTCCACCTGGACCTGGACTTCCTCAAGTACGTGGAGGAGCTGGAGCGCGGCCCCGCCGCCCGCCGAGCCCCGGGCCCCCAGCCCGCGCGCCGCCCCCGCGCGCCACGGGCCGGCCTCGCAGGCGCGCGCAGCCCAGGCGCCTGGACATCCTGCGAGTCCCTGGCCAGTGACGATGGCGGAGCACAGGGCGCTCTCTCCCCGGGCGCGCCGTCGGGGCTGATGCTGCCGCCGCTATCGCCGCGCGCACCCGTGCGCAATCCGCGCGTCGAGCACACGCTCCTGGAGACCAGCCGGCGGTTGGAGCTTGCGCAGGCGCACGAGTGCGTGCCCAGCCCAGGCCGCGCGATCCCGCGCAGCCCGCGCGGGTCCGGCCACAGCAGTCCCGCCCCCAACCCGGCCCTGGCCTCGCCCGGCCCCGCGCAACTGCAGCTGGTGCGCGAGCAGATGGCAGCGGCGTTGAGGCGCCTGCGCGAGCTCGAGGAGCAGGCGCGCTCGCTGCCCGAGCTGCAGGAGCAGGTGCGCGCGCTGCGCGCCGAGAAGGCGCGGTGGCTTGCTGGGCGCCGGCAACCCGAGCCCGACGGGGAGGCCGAGGCGCGCCCGGACAAGCTTGCTCAGCTGCGACGGCTCACCGAGCGCCTGGCCACCTCTGAGCGCGGCGTTCGCGCCAGGGCCAGCCCCGGGGCTGACGGCCCCGACGGGTCGGCTTCTAGCCTCAGTGAGGGTGCGCTGCAGGTCCTCGATGGGGCGCCCCAGACGCGGGATACAGGCACCCAGACCGTGCCGGAGACTCACGAGGCGGGAGCCCAGGCGGTGCCGGAGACCCAGGAGGCCGGCGTGGGGGCAGCTCCCGAGACGCTCGAGGCGGAAGTGTGGGTGACGGAGGCTCTGCTGGGGCTGCCCGCGGCCGCCGAGCGCGAGCTGGAGCTGCTTCGCGCCAGCCTGGAGCATCAGCGCGGGGTGAACGAGCTCCTGCGGGGTCGCCTGTGCGAGCTGGAGGAGGCCCGCGAGGCTGCCGAGGAGGCACAGGCAGCGGTGGCGGCCCAGCCCCAGCCGTGCGAGGCTGCCACCCAGACCCCGTGGGGTTGTGCCGAGAGGGCCACGCAGACCGAGCCCGCTGTGGAGGCTCCTGCCCCTACGCAGGAGAACCTGCCCGGACCCACGGATGGGGACAGGGCAGTGGCACCCGTGGGTGAGTCCCCCTCCCCGTCCCTCGCTGAGCCCTCGTTTGCTGGCCACCGAATTCGAACTCACTGTCTTCATCTGATCTCTGCCAGGCACCCTCAAATCCATTATGAAGAGGAGAGACGGTACACCTGGCGCCCAACCCAGTCCCGGACCCAAGAGCCTGCAGTTTGTTGGGGTCCTCAACGGAGAGTGAGCACCTTCCCCCTCCCCATGGCAGCATCTTCTGGGACTGGAATGGGGTTTGAATCCCAGCTCTGCCCCTCGCTCGCGGCGTGGTCTTGGCAAGCCTCAGTGTCCTCATCTGTAAGATGGGAACAGCCACTCCCACCTCGCAGGACTCCAGAATGAGCCCCCAGAGGAGGCTCAGCAGATGCCTCCCACCCTGCCCCCAGGTACGAGAGCTCATCCAGCGAGGGCGACAGCGACAGCGAGGACGGCGCTGCCGAGCTCCCGAGGAGCAGTTCGTCGGGCTCAGGAGACGACAGCGGCGGGGGATCCGACTCCGGGACCCATGGCCCTCCCAGCGGCGGGGAGGCCCGGGACCCCGAGCCGGAGGCAGAGCCAGAGCCTCAGCCGGGTGCGCAGGGGAGGTGAGCAGCGCCGCGGACACGGAATAGGAACGGCTGCTCTCTTTCCCGTCTCCCCACTCCCCATCCCAACCCCTCTTTAGCCTCTCCCTGTCTGCGTCTCCCCGGCAGTAGGTGCGAGCTGAGCCCGCGTTTGAGGGAGGCGTGCGCAGCGTTGCAACGGCAGCTGAGCCGGCCCCGCGGAGTCGCCCGCGACAGTGTGAGTGCGGGGAGAGGCCTTCGCAGGAGTCATAGGCCCGCCAGGGACCTCCTCTGACGCCTACCTAGGGAAGAGCATCGGGTTCTTTAGAGTTAGGAGGGTCCCAAGTTCCGTCACCTCGCGCCAGGGCCCTCCACGGATCCCAAGCTCTCCAAAGGGCTCTTCTCCCCAGGACAGGGCTGATCTTTCCCTGATTTCCCAAAAGGGGTCCGCCCCAAGCCCCAGCCCCACTCCCGGACTCCCCAAAGACAAGCGCTCACCGCCTTCCGCCACTTCAGCTTCTTCCCCAGGCTCTTGCTCAGAAGGGGAGCATCCCTGCCCCCTCGAGTCGGATACCCACACTAACCGTACTCCCTCCTCGAAAGGGGTGTGGCCCTAGGAGCGACCATCCTCCCGTGCCTGGGTTCCCAGTCCCGCCCCCACACCCTCCCTGCCACCCCTTCCTGGACCCTCGCCGATGTCTTTCCCCCGTCCTGGCAGGGCGCGGCGCGCCTGGTGGCCCAGGAGTGGTTTCGAGTGTCGAGCCAGCGGCGCTCTCAAGCGGAGTCCGTGGCCGGGGTGCTGGGTGCGGCGGTGCGCCTGGGACGTGAGCTGCTGGAACACGTGGTGAACCTGACGGATGGCAACGGGAACACAGCCCTGCACTACAGCGTGTCCCATGGGAACCTGGCCATCGCGAGCTTGCTGCTGGATACAGGTCAGCATTGAGGAGGGGGTTGGGAGGGCACCAGGGAATAGGCAGCCAGGGGAGGGAGAATTTGGGCAGGTCCTGCCGGGAGGACCTGGAGAAGGATGCGGAGAAGGGCAGGCCAGGCAGAGGGCGCCACTGGCCCTCCTCTGGAGGCTACGTGACCCACTGTGGATAGATTGACCGCTCTGAGCTGTGAGCTCTGCCCTGACCTGCCTCTCACTTTGCAGGGGGAGGGTATTCTGGGCTTTGGGATTGGGTAGACCTAAATGTAGAGGAATTACCTCATTTCACTGGCTTTAGCTTCCTCCTTTGTGAAACGGGGGATGCGGTGCCTCCCTCCCTGGGCAATTGTGATAACACACACGTAGAACAGCGCCAGGCACGCAGGTCAGTCAGCGGTCCCCATGCCTTCTGTCCCTGAATCTCCAGCCTTGGCGTTCACCTTGTTCCTGAGCCCCAGTATCCATCCACTGCCTCTTTAGCCTCCAGGGGAGGTACTGACTGGTCAGGGCTGTGACTGCCTCCCGGGCTGGGACACTGGGCCTGCAGTCCTCCACCACCAGGTCCTGCATTGGCCCCATCTCACACACATTTCTATCATCTGTCTCAACGTTTCCCCCTCTGGAGCAGACATACACACATCCAGGTGTTGCTGAGCCCACAGACATATATTGAGAGCCTTCCAGGTACCAGTGCAGTGCCAGGATGGGGGTTGGCCACCCACATGGGACTCACAGCAGAGGGGACAGTGGACAGTAGACAAACTGATTGTCCATCAAGAGCTCTCCTGGGTGTCCTTCAGGTCCAGTATCCTCTGGGGCCTGCCCTACCTCTCATTCTCACTGCAGGCTGAGGCAGGTCCTGCTGTCCCATCCTGCATGCCACCGCCCTAAATACACAGATCCATCCCATTTCTGCAGGTCTTGGTGACCGGGGAGAAGGGCACAGCTGCTCTGGGCTGGACAGGGAGCTGGGGCTTGGGAGGAGGGGACAATGCATGAATTCAAAAGGTATTTCCTGGGACTTCCCCGGCGGTCCAGTGGTTAAGACTCCACACTTTCAATGCAGGGGGTGCGGGTTCGATCCCTGGTCAGGGAACTAAGATCCCACATGCTGCGCGGCGCGGCAAAAAAACCAAAAAGGTATTTCCTGGGCAGCTCCTGTCTTAAAGGGGGCTGAGGACTGGGGTTGTGGAGGGTGGCAAGGCAGTCATCTTGGTTGCAAGGCCCGAGGCTCCTTGGATCCTCTTATTCCCTGCATTTGAACCCGCCCCCCCCACCCTTCAGCTCCAACTTTCCAGACCTTGCCGTGGGCCTTCTGGTTCTCACATGGGTCAGCCCCTTTGGCCCTCCCCACCCCCAGGACCCAGAGCCCTCAGTGCACCCTTCACACAGGGGCTGTTTCCTCTCATCTCCCTGGAATGAAGGGCCTGGACATGGCTGTGTCCTCCTTGTTCTTTTTCTCCACTTCCAGACCGTTTCCCCGTCCTCCTTTAGTCCCATCTTGGAGCCTCTAATTGATCAGACCACTACTCCCTCCTCCCCTTCTGACTTCTCCCTCCCACCTCGTCACTCTTCATTTCTTGAATCTTAGCTCCTGGCTGTTTCTCCTCCTCTCCAGCCTAATCATCACCAATATCAGTTTCCTGATGGATGATCCCTCCCACTTCCTGGCTTCTCAGTTCCTTTTTTTTTTTTTTTCTGGCTATGCTACAAGGCATGTGGGATCTTAGTTCCCCGACCAGGGATTGAACCTGCACCCCCTGCAGTGGAAGCGTGGAGTTTTAACCCCTGGACCACCAGGGAAGTCCCTTCTCAGTTCCTTGACCTACTCCTCTCCCTTCACCCTGACATCAGCCTTACACTTGTAAGGTCACCACAACACCTTGATGTCATCAGTAACTATGCCCCCTCCATAATCTCACTTCCTAGTATTCTCTCCTGAACTCTCACCTTCCAACATCTCAGCTCACTGTCTCCTGTTGCCCAACTCCCACAGTCCTTGAACCTCGTGGGACCAGTATCCATTGCTCCCACCACATTTCACTGTTCTGTCTCCTTGCCTCCTGGCCTATCATTAACTACTCCTTTATGTACCCTTTCAAACCCATCCCCATACCCCTCCCTCACCTCACCCTACTTGCCTGGCAGACCCCAGTGGGGCACACAATAGACCCTCAAGTGTTTGTTGAATGAATGAATAAGCTCTCATGAACAGGGGCTCTGGGTGTGTGTGTGGGGGGAGTGGAGATAATTATCAATTTTACTTGATAATTATCAAGTAAACATAATTTCCAATAGGGGTAAGGGCCATGACAAAATAAAACCAGGGGAGGGAATCAAGAAACAGGTTGATCCTTTAGCTTAGCAAGGCCTCAGGGAAGGGAAAGGGAGAGGGAAAATAGGTGGGTCCCCTGGCTAGCTGCAGAGACCCCACTTTGGTTATTTCTGAGCCCCCTTCTGCGCCCAACACCCTCCACCAGGGTCACAGAAGCTTGTGGATGGAATGGACACCTAGAGAGTATGCCACACAACTAGGGAACGCCCTTAATCCTGACTTAACTCTTTTCACTCCCCAGCCGGTAGTCTCAGATCCCCTCTCACTAGGGCACCCTCTCCATGACCCTGACCCACTCCTTTCCCCAAACCTCTCCCACCCATTCATCTCTGCAGACTGTCCCTAGACTTGTGGAGCTTTCAGAATGGTGGGGTACACGAGCGTTAAACATTCTGGGGAATGAGGTCCAGAAGTAGGTGCTGTGCTGTGAGGAAGAGGGCCAGGATGGTAACAGAACTGACCCCAGAGGAAATGGAGCTGATGTCTGTGTTCAGTTCGGAAGGACGGGCAGCAGTAACCAGGCTGTTAGTTTCCTAGGGCTGCTGTAAAAAAGTGCCACAAAGTACCACAACGTGGGTGGTTGAAAAGAGAAATTCATTTTCTTGCAGTTCAGGAGTCCAGAAGTCCAAAATCAAGGTGTTGGCAGGGCTGTTTCCTTCTTAAGGGCTCAGAGGGAGAATCTCTTCTGTGCCTTTCTCCAAGCTTCTGGTGGTTGCCAGCAACCCGTAGCGTTCCACGGCTTATGGCAGCTTGTCTTCTCGGCTTTCTGCATCACATAGCTCTTTGTCTTTGATTCTTCCGAGGATACCAGTCATATGGAATTAGGGCCTACCATAATGACCTCATCTTAACTTGGTTATGGTTTGCAAAGACCTTATTTCCAATTAAGGCCACATTCACAGGTACTGGGTGTTAGGAGTTCAACGTATCTTTTGGTGGGGCAGTGGGGGCAGGGACACAATTCAATCTGTAACATAGGCTTGGGGGAGAAAGGCCAACTCCAGAGGAAGGAACAGAAGTTGATAACAGAGCCTCGGAGGCGGTGGTGAACAACGGCCTGTATTCCAGGTGCAGTGGGGAGACACAGGAGGGCTCTAAATAGGTGACAGGGCCAAATTTCTTTTGATCTTTCTGGCTGCTACATGGAAACTGGAGGGGACTTGGACACCAGGGGGGCCCGGCTGGCATTTCTCTGGGGGAGCAACAGTGGTGGCTTGGTGGGTAGTAGCCGTGAAAATAGAAACGTCCATTTATCTCATTCATTGAGCAGCTACTAGGTGGCAGGTATTACTCTAGGTACTGGGGGATACAGCAGCAGACAGAACGAAGCCCCCAACACAGTTTGAAATAGGAAGGTGAGGAAACTCTTCACTGAGATGAGATGCGAGCAGAACCCTGAAGGTAAGGGAGGAGACATGTGGATCTTGCGGGGAGAGCCTTGTAGGCAGAGGGAACAGTAAAATCACGCATGACCCTCAGTGACCAACCTGACTGAACAAATGAACCCGAGGCTTGGAGGGAGGCGAGTGGACTAGAGGGTGTCGGCTTCTTGGTGGACTGACCCCTCTTCTCTCCCCCAGGGGTCTGCAAGATTGACCACCAGAATCGAGCTGGCTACTCTGCCCTCATGCTGGCCGCACTCACCTCTGTGGGGCGAGAGGAGGACATGGCCGTGGTCCAGAGACTCTTCCGCATGGGCAGTGTTAACGCCAAGGCCAGCCAGGTGCGTAAATACCTCCTCCCTGGCTCGGAGTCCAGGGGTCTTTTCCACTTTTGGAGCCAAATGTCTGTGACCCCCCTCTTTCCCCCGGAGCCCACACCAGCCCTGTCCCCTTCTTTCCCTTTCCCCAGACGGGACAGACAGCCCTCATGCTGGCCATCAGCCACGGCCGCCAGGACACGGTAGCAGCCCTGCTGGCATGTGGGGCAGATGTGAACGTGCAGGATGCAGATGGGGCCACAGCGCTGATGTGCGCCAGCGAGTATGGGCGCCTGGACACTGTCCGGTTGCTCCTGGCCCAGCCAGGCTGCGACCCCGCCCTCCTGGACAACGTGAGCCACCATGGGGCTGGTGGGGTAGTCACACCTTGGTTCAGGGACCTGACTGTCCCTATCATCCCTCAGGAGGGCACCAGTGCCCTGGCCATTGCCCTGGAGGCTGAGCAGGACGAGGTGGCCGCCCTGCTGCACGCCCACCTGAGCTCAGGCCAGCCCAGTCCCCTGGTGAGTGCAGCCCCAGCCCCAGCCCCAAGAGACAGTTTCCCAGCTGCACAGCTCAAGGATCCCAAGTGAGCCCCAGGAAGGTGGCTTCTCTTCATGCACCCTGGGGGAGTACCAGGGGTGGGGAAATCTGCATCTGAATTCTATGTGGCTGGGATTTGATGTTCAACCTGCAGAACACACAATGGCTAGACACATCTTCACTTTACAGGTCATGAACCTGAGGCCTCCAGAGGGGACATGCCATTAAGGTCAGAGTAGAGCTGTCAGACCTAGGTCAGATCATGTCGTGTCACTGGACCCGTTACTGCCCCCAGGCTCACAGCAAAGGAATAAGGGGCCCTTTAGGTCGAGGGGGCAGGGGAGGGGGGTGCAGGCTCCCCACAACTGAGAGCTTCAGGGTTGGAGACGAGGAGTTTGCCAGCAGCAGGCAGGAAGGGCTGGTTTGGGGGCAGAGCACTCAGTTTGTCCCCAAGGGGGAGAGGCTTATGTTCAAAAGGCAAGTGCCAGGCTGTTCTCAGCACTTTCATAATTAAAAATCATCCTGGGAATTCCCTGACAGACCAGTGGTTAGGACTCCTCACTTCCACTGCAGGGGGCACGGGTTCAATCCCTGGTCAGGAAACTAAGATCCCGCATGCCTCATGGCGCGGCCGAATAACACAAAATCGAAGCAAAACGCCAACTCATGCTGTGAGCCTAGCCATCCCGCACTCTCCTGTAGAGATGGGGGAAAGGAACCAGGGAGGCCAAGTGCCTCTTCCAGGTCACATAGGACAGAGGTGGGATTCAAACCCAGGTGCTCTGGCTCTGCTGTAAAAGGTGGGGTTCCTGCTTAGGCAAGGTCAGTGGACAGAGGCAAGACCTCCACTAGGCTAAGCAGCCCTGAGTCTAAGGGGGCTGAAAGCCAGTATCCTGCCTACAGGAGACTGACAGGAGCCCCCCTCAACCTCTCTCACCAGCTGCCCTCTGACCACCCCATGGCCAAGCCTAGTGAAGGAAGCTGCAGTGACGGTGGAGAGGACCCCCCACCTCAGTGACTGGCCTGACACACTGGACCTGGATTGGGGGAGAGCTTTCCCTCGCCCACCTCAACCTCGGGACACAGCAAGGGTCAGGGTCCACAGGGAGGGGCTCAGCTTGAACTCTGCAGGGTGAGGTGCGACCCGAGGCACTCTGGTCCACTCACTCCTCCAACCTTCTTTCTTAATAAAACATTCCTAACTCAGCTTGTCTTGTTTTGGAGATACACACAGACACGTTTCTTCCTCCTCAAAAAGAAAACGCGTTATTGGGGAAGACAACTCCTCCGCCCCCCGTTCCAGAGTGCAGTGGATCAGTGCAGACCATCTGGGGGTCCCATGGGAGGGTTTTATAAGCTTAGTGGCAACCGAGACAAAACCCCAAGTTTACATAGAATATAAACGCTTTATTAACAGCAGATCATCCTCGTGGGCCAGGCAGTCGACCCAGACATCCAGGACCCTGTAAACACACCCAAGTATGAGATGCTGACAGGTCCCCCTCAGCAAGTGGCAAACTCCCTCCCCCATCTTTCAATCTCAGCAAACCCTTTCTTCACACCCCGCCACCAAGAGCCCCTCATCCGTATGCTTGGCGAAACCTCCCTACCACCAGCCAAAGGTCTAACAGGGACCTACCTACTCTGTTTCCCACTCCAGTTGTGCACTCACCAGTCCCAAGTTCAGCGCAGCCTCCGAGCCTCTCGCTCTGACTCCAATAGGGTGAGCACGTCGCCCTCGCGCACGGGGCCTTTCACGTTTCGGATGATGGAACGGCTCGTGTCGTCCATGAATTCTACGCGCACCTATGGGGTTGACGGGGGGCGGAGGACCGAGAAGAAGTCAGGGTCGGCCACAAACTCGCACCGTGGGATAGACAGCTGACTTGGATTCAGAGAACGTGTCTGCTTAGACACACTTAAAAAGAGGACTGAGCCTGGGAAGTAGGTCTGGGCCGGGAGAGAAGCCGGAGACGGGCCGAGGCGTGGAGAACAAAGCTCTCGAGCGCCAGAAAAAGCCACTGGTGGGGGACAACTGCCGCTCTGGGCCCGTCGGGGACGGGAGCACAATCGTGAGGGCGTGGAGCTACACAGTGGTCGTTGGGATTGGCTGAGCCAGGAGAACGAGGTATGTCAGAGCCCGAGGAATGAAGTCGACCGAGCCCAGACCCGGTGGGCAAGGCCTCGGCAAAGGCTCGGACCCTCCGTGAGCTTTCCGAAAAAGGGTTCGTATCGGTTCTCAGATACCAGGGCACAGAAGTCATCATCGGAGACTCAAGACCCCAGACCCTGCCTCCTCGTCTCTCCAGCTCACCTGCGTGCACTGTCCCTGCGAACCGGTCCTGCCCAGAACCTTGGTGACCTGGGGTAAAGAAGCTGGGATCAGATCTGGACCACCCGGTTCCCCTACTCCTTCCTCCCTCATCCGGGCCCTCAAACCCGGGCTTCCGCCTCACCCTGGCAAGCTTGATGGGCTGCACACGACTCGTATCCATGATGATGGCACGGCGGCTGATCGGGCAGAGAGGAGTCACGTGCTTCGGAGAGAACATTTATAAGGCGTCCTAGCCCCGCCCACACCCGCTCTCGCGAGGCCATACTCCATGTTCCCAGCAGCCCTCGCGGTAGAGACGTCACCGGCGGCCTCCAGCACGGGAAAGATGGCGTCTGCTACTCGTTTCATCCAGCGGTTGCGGAACTGGGCATCCGGGGTGCGCGGAGCAGGAAGGGCTGCACTGGGGAGGGTGGGGCTGTGGGCTCCGTGCGCCCCGGACACGCTCCCGTTACTCACCCCCCTCCTGCACCTCTGGGGCTGAGGCCAGTGGTGCCGAGATTCCCCTAATAAGCCGGGACCCCGCGCTCAGCCCGGAACCTCCAACTCTTGACCCTTCCAGCCCAGGGCACGCCCACCTTCACCCCCAGCCCTTGGCCCTCTCTTGGCTGGGGTCCCACTCAGGCCTGGGATTTACCTAGTCCTTCTTAGCTTTGGATCTTGTGGCCCTGGCCTCCAGCTTTCCTGTTGACCTCCAGGGCCCATATTCTTGTCGCCAAATGCCCATCTCCCGCCTTCCCTTCATTTGTCCAGCCCCGGACTGCACCACGTTCGCTGGCCTTCCCTTCTGGGGTGCCCTGCGGGCTGACCTCCTTCCTCTCTTTCTCCCACAGCAAGACTTGCAGGCGAAGCTGCAGCTGCGTTACCAGGAGATCTCCAAGCGGTGAGCAAGCCCCGCTCGCTGCCCGGACTGCAATCCTGTCCTTCCATCAAAAACAAAACCCCTGTTCTTTTAGACCCCTGAAACACTGGGCCGAAATCCTGCCTCTAGCCGCCTAGCTTGCCGTGGAGGCAGAGGTTTGCCTTTAATCTTGCTGGACTATGTCGGATAGTGGTGCTCGTGGAACAACCAGATGGGGCTTGAATTATGAGTGGGAATCCTCAGTGTGATTTGCAGTCCTAAGTGTGGCCCTGTTAGTTAGTGTTATCATCCCCAAGCTACACATGAAAATATTTGAGGCTCGGAGAGACTAAATCATTTGCTTAAAATCACTCAGAAGCCAGCAAGTAACAGCTGGGATTTGAACCCAGAAGTGTCTTGATTTCAAACTCATTTGAGTCCAAAAATTACTTGACATTTACAAACCCCTGCTGTGTCCTCAGCCCTCTGGGATACCAGTGCTAACAAGAAAAATTCTCATTCCTTTCATGGAGCTCATATCCTGGGGAGGAGGGAGAAACATAACATAGTAGGGAAATAAACACAGCAAGGAAAAAACATTGTTCTAGAATGCTCTGAAGACAAAACAAAGTGAATAAGCTGGAGGGTGCCTACCTCAGATCAGGTAATCAGGAAAGGCCTCAGGGATTGACATTTGAGTCACCTGAAATGCCAAAGGATAGTTATTAAAACATTCCGGGCAGAGGAAGCAGTAAGTGCCAAGGCTGTGCAGCCCGACAGAGCCAGAAGTAGGAAGGAGGCTAGTGTGGCTGAAACACTCTGAGGAATGGGGAATAGCGATATATATATGAGTGGCAGGCAAAGGTAAGGCAGCCATGGAGGGTTAGCATGAAAAGAAGAACAATAACATTAAAATAACCGAGTCTATGTGAATGCCTGCATGTTGTGACTGATTCCAAATATCAGAAGTTTTAAATTGCTTTTCCATCCAGGGTAGTTGATACAGTTGAGGAAACAGTTTTGTAAAATTTTCAACTTTTTTTTTTTTTAAAGGATAATGGCGCCCCCTAATGATTCATTTAGGCCTTTCCGTTGGGCGCTGGTTCTTTTTATCCTTTGTGTGCTCGTTTTCTGTTGGTCCCTGGCCAACAGAGGGTCATCTCTGCACTCCAGGGGTTAAGCAGATTCTAACTTCAACACAGGATATTGCCTTTATTTATTTTATCATTTATTTTTAAAAATTTATTTATTTATTTTTGGCTGCGTTGGGTCTTCATTGCTGCGCGCGGGCTTTCTCTAGTTGTGGCGAGCGGGGGCCACTCTTGTTTGCAGTGCGTGGGCTTCTCAGTGCGGTGGCTTCTCTTGTGGTGGCTTCTCTTGTTGCAGAGCATGGGCTGTAGGCGCGCGGGCTTCAGTAGCTGTGGCTCACGGGCTCTAGAGCTCAGGGTCCGTAGTTGCAGCGCATGGGCTTCGTTGCTCCGTAGCATGTTGGGATCTTCCTGGACCAGGGCTCGAACCCGTGTCCCCTGCATTGGCACGCAGATTCTTAACCACTGCGCCACCGGGAAGTCCTATTTTATTTTTTTTTAATTTTTAAAAAATATATTTGTTTATTTTTGGCTGCATTGGGTCTTTGTTGCTGTGCGCGGGCTTTCTCTAGTTGTGGTGAGCAGGGGCCACTCTTCGTTGCGGTGTGCAGGCTTCTCATTGTGATGGCTTCTCTTGTTGCAGAGCACGGGCTCTAGGCGCTCGGGCTTCAGTAGTTGTGGCACTCAGGCTCAGTGGTTATGGCACACGGGCTTAGTTGCTCCGCAGCATGTGGGATCCTCCCAGATCAGGGCTCGAACCCGTGTGCCCTGCATGGGCAGGTGGATTCTTAACCATTGCGCTACCAGGGAAGTCCCTAATTTATTTTTTATTTATTAAAAAAATTTTTTTTGGCTGTGCCGCACAGCTTGTGGGATCTTAGTTCCCTGACCAGGATCGAACCTGGGCCATAGCAGTGAAAGCACCGAGTCCTAACCACTGGACTGCCAGGGAATTAGGATACTGCTTTTAATATTAAGTTTTTAAACTTTGTTTGTATCTGTATTTCTTTTTTTCCCCTTGGTACAATGACTATCACTTGTTTTAAGAAAAACTTAAGTCCTGGCAAAATGACTATCAGAAAAAAGTTGGTTGAAAACCAGATGAGGGACTTCCCTGGTAGCGCAGTAGTTAAGAATCCTCCTGCCAATGCAGGGGACACGGGTTCGAGCCCTGCTCCGGGAAGATCCCACATGCCGCGGAGCAGCTAAGTCCATGCACCACAACTACTGAGCCTGTGCTCTAGAGCCCGCGAGCCACACCTACTGAAGCCTGCGCGCCTAGAGTCCGTGCTCCGCAACAAGAGAAGCCACCGCAATGAGAAGTCCGCGCACTGCAACGAAGAGTAGCCCCTGTTCACCACAACTAGAGAAAGCCTGTGCACAGCAAAGAAGACCCAATGCAGACAAATAAATAAATTAAATTTAAAAAAAAGATGAATGAGAACCCGATCTGTTTATGATTTTTCTATCTTTTCTGCCCTCCCTCTCTGCAATGGTTTCCAGGGAAGCTCATCTTTTGTTAGTGATTTTGTTTTTTGTTAGTGTCTTTTGTTAGCAATTAGTTTTCAGGCCTCAAACTTTGTATATTGACCCCAGGGTTTAGTCAAGCGAGGACAGAGCTCTGTTCACTCCCCCTCTGGTGGCAGCAGCCACGAGGTGGCAGCAGAGACCCCAGACGACAAAATGCTCTTTGAGTAATAAGGCTTGATCCCAGTAGAGTTCTTCAGAGTTCCTGAGAGAACTGGAAACCCAGAGGT